CTATTGATGATTCAAAACGTTCTTTAGTAGTTATGGCTGATTCAAGAGTTCGCAAGAATGCAACAGAACCAATCAATACATACTCATTCATTCGTGGAAGTTATGATTCAACATTAACCAGAACAGTGAATGATATATTAAATGATTTGAATATTAAGGTAAGAGTTGAACAGAAGAATGAAGAAATAAAGAGTATCATGAATGAAAACAAAGATGTAAACATTGACGATAAACTAGCTCAGAGCATAGTTGATGGCATCTGTGATTTCGAAGTACATAATGATGGTGGAAACATGAATTTAGAAAAAGAAATAACATTATTCACACTGTTTCAAGCAATTAATTCGTTACCTAATCATTTAATTAATGAAGCATACGATAACGTTTATAACTTCTGCAGTTTAACAGAAAATGCAAAAAGTAATTTTGAAAAAGCACGTGATAGATATGCATATTTAATGACTTCTCCATTTGTTTTGGTGAAGATTCTAAAACTTTATCAAAAGGAATATTATGATGAATACGTTTTACCTTTATTACGTAAGCCAAAAATAACATTCGATATCAAACTTGATGACTCGTTTTTGATAACAGATATTAGACGCAAGGCTGAAAATCATCAGTATAAAAACAGTTCTGAAGTAATTGAGGATTTATCACATGTAATCCGTTTTGTAGATTATGGAAACAAATACTTCATTCAGAAAGATTACAACATCCACGACAAAATGAATCAAATATCATTCGTTCTTCAGTCAAACATGAAAGAGTCACTTAAAATGATTAAATTATTTAAAGAAGAAGGTAAAACAATAACAGCATGGGATGTACTATTAAATCAATTGTCTTCATTAACAGTTAAGGGTGTTTGCTTTAAATCTGATTCCCCCGATGTTTTCTCAACGTTTCAGGGTTATAAATACAACATTCTTGAAAAACCTGATTACTCAAAAATTGAGATGTTTATGAATTTCATTAAAGAAGCCATATGCGATAATAACGATGAAGTGTATAAATACCTTCTCGGCTGGATTGCATCAATGATTCAACATCCTGGAATCAAGAATGAAACAGCAATTATTTTGAAAGGACTTCAGGGAACAGGTAAAAACAGATTTACAGACATTATTTCTGAACTTCTCGCTGGTTATTCATGTAAAAACATTACTGAAATAAGTGAGTTAACGGGTAATTTCAATTCAGTAGTTGAGAATAAAATGTTTCTTGTACTTAATGAACTCAAGAATGTAGGTGAAGACAGACTTGCAAACTTCAACGCTTTGAAATCAATTATAACGGATAATGAGATTAGAATTAATGAAAAGAATCAACCCAGAAGAACTGCTCAGAATGTTGCAAACTTCATTTTCGTAACTAATAACGTCTACCCTGTCAAAATTGAAGTTGGAGACAGAAGATATGTAGTTTTAAGAGTTAATGGTAAATTCAAGGGTCAATTTGATTACTTCAAGAATTTGATGAATTCATGCACTAAGGAATTTTATGATAATTTACTGACGTATTTTATGCAATATGACCTTTCATCATTTAATGTACGAATCATACCGATGACTGAAGCCAAACAAGATTTAATCGAATTATCATCAAATCCTTTAGATGTATGGATAAATACACATTATGATGAATTGTGTGCAGGTATGACGTGTGAAAATGCTCTATTCTGCAAACCATCAGACATGAAAGACAAGAATTTCCAAATGAGTATTAAGGATAAATGTGATAGGAAACATAGAAGAATAGATGGTAAACAAACATGGTGTTATGTTTTGAAAGAAGAAATGAAAGGATTATATAAACAAGTTGAACCAAACGATGATGAGGATTCATTTACTGACGATGAAATACCTGTAAATGAAGCTTTATAAAGTATGATTTGAATTTATTTTTGCTTTCCTCCTATGTTGTTGTCAAAATGTCATGTTGTCACTATTTTTAAAAGAAATTAAATTACCTGGTAGCACATGGTAACATGGTAGCACCTTCAGTTCTTCAAAAATAATTCATTATTGCCTTCCTCCTATGTTGTTGTCAAAATGTCATGTTGTCACTATTTTTAAAAGAAATTAAATTACCTGGTAGCACCCGGTAACATGGTAGCACCTTCAGTTCTTCAAAAATAATTCATTATTGCCTTCCTCTCGTGTTGTTGACACAATTTCATGTCGTCATCATGACAACATGGTAGCACCTTCAGTTCTTCAAAAATAATTCATTATTGCCTTCCTCCTGTGATGTTGTCAAAATGTCATGTTGTCTCATTTTTTCAGAGAAGTTGAATGACCTGGGAGCACATGGTAACATGGTAGCACCTTCAGTTCTTCAAAAATAATTCATTATTGCCTTCCTCTCGTGTTGTTGACATAATGTCATGTCGTCAACATGGTAACATGGTAGCACCTTCAGTTCTTCAAAAATAATTCATTATTGCCTTCCTCCTATGTTGTTGTCAAAATGTCATGTTGTCAACATTTTTAAAAGAAATTAAATTACCTGGTAGCACCCGGTAAAACGCTTGTGAAAAAAAAACAGGTGAAAAAAAAGGTGAGATCTCACCTCTTCACCTAAAAATTATTTTTGGTGTAAATTTATGATAAAAATAAATGATTCATTGAACTCTATACCATGCGTAAACTGTCATGTAAGGTGGCATGTATTCTTTACCTTGTCCCGTTGTTTGTGTATATCCTGAAACGAAATGTGTATGGTTTCCTTCTCCCTGAGTGTCACTCCAGTAACAATTTATAGCAAACTTAACGTCATCTTTAACATCATATCCTTTACCTTTTGTCATTCCTGACCAATCCCAATATCTATGCTTATGCCAACCCGCTTGAGATGTGCTTAAATCTATGTAGTGACTGTGTGCAGGTAAATTTTCACCTGTAATCGTTTTACTTCCACCTGTTTCCTTTGAAGAGTTTGCACAATACAAAAACCTGTCGACTATTTGTTCCCATGCACCAACACCAAACATTGCTTGAGGACCTCTTGCATCCATAGATGTATAAATAGAACCTACTGGGTTCATTAAATCAAACATATGAGATAATATAGGATTGTCTCTTTTGAACTTAAAATATAGTGCAACTATTTCAGGTTTCTTCTGGTTTGTGTCAGAATATTTTTTATAATATAATCTTATGTTTTCAGGGTAGGTAAAATCTTGACTATAATATTTATTTTTGTCATCTGTATAATAATATACTATTCTCGTTTTTTCTATTGCATTATATCTTTTATATCTATAATAATCTAAATATAATGTTAGCTTTTGTTCATCTACATGTGGTGTTCTGACGTCATCTCCATAGTCATAATAATATGGTGCTGGAGCTAGGTTAGACAATGTCATATCTGTCATTTCATAAACTCTTAAATATTTCTTTTGTTCGTCTCCATATAAGTTTAAGTAACAGTTGTTGTCTAATGGAACTTTAACTTGTGTACCATCATTCTTTATATAGCTTACATACATTTCATTGTTATTTTTCGGAATGAGTTTACACCGCATACCATTTCTTAAGGACTGTACAAACTGCCATCTAAAATATTTATTTTCTTCATTGACAGAAAAGTCACCAACAATAGTTTCAATATTTTTAGTTGTTCCTATCAAACTTTGGTATATTCCATTAACATATTCATTATCTGCCTTCTTCTCTAACTCACTGTTGACATATTCCTTATCTGCTTTAAGGTCTAAACATCCTGAAACCCACCCTGTATCAGCTTTAGATTTTAAAATATTTGATGTCCATTCATGATACCTTTCAACCCTTTCTTTAATTTCATTATCTTTTTCATTAACATATTCCTTATCTGCTTTCTTCATTAACTCACTAGCCACATATTCCTTATCTGCTTTCTTCATTAACTCACTAGCCACATATTCCTTATCTGCTTTCTTCATTAACTCACTAACCACATATTCCTTATCTGCTTTCTTCATTAACTCACTAGCCACATATTCCTTATCTGCTTTCTTCATTAACTCACTAACCACATATTCCTTATCTACTTTCTTCATTAACTCACTAGCCACATATTCCTTATCTGCTTTCTTCATTAACTCACTAGCCACATATTCCTTATCTACTTTCTTCATTAACTCACTAGCCACATATTCCTTATCTACTTTCTTCATTAACTCACTAGCCACATATTCCTTATCTACTTTCTTCATTAACTCACTAGCCACATATTCCTTATCTGCTTTCTTCATTAACTCACTAGCCACATATTCCTTATCTACTTTCTTCATTAACTCACTAACCACATATTCCTTATCTGCTTTCTTCATTAACTCACTAGCCACATATTCCTTATCTGCTTTCTTCATTAACTCACTAGCCACATATTCCTTATCTGCTTTCTTCATTAACTCACTAACCACATATTCCTTATCTACTTTCTTCATTAACTCACTAACCACATATTCCTTATCTGCTTTCTTCATTAACTCACTAGCCACATATTCCTTATCTGCTTTCTTCATTAACTCACTAGCCACATATTCCTTATCTACTTTCTTCATTAACTCACTAGCCACATATTCCTTATCTACTTTCTTCATTAACTCACTAGCCACATATTCCTTATCTACTTTCTTCATTAACTCACTAGCCACATATTCCTTATCTGCTTTCTTCATTAACTCACTAGCCACATATTCCTTATCTACTTTCTTCATTAACTCACTAACCACATATTCCTTATCTGCTTTCTTCATTAACTCACTAGCCACATATTCCTTATCTGCTTTCTTCATTAACTCACTAGCCACATATTCCTTATCTGCTTTCTTCATTAACTCACTAGCCACATATTCCTTATCTACTTTCTTCATTAACTCACTAGCCACATATTCCTTATCTACTTTCTTCATTAACTCACTAGCCACATATTCCTTATCTACTTTCTTCATTAACTCACTAGCCACATATTCCTTATCTACTTTCTTCATTAACTCACTAGCCACATATTCCTTATCTACTTTCTTCATTAACTCACTAGCCACATATTCCTTATCTGCTTTCTTCATTAACTCACTAGCCACATATTCCTTATCTACTTTCTTCATTAACTCACTAGCCACATATTCCTTATCTACTTTCTTCATTAACTCACTAGCCACATATTCCTTATCTACTTTCTTCATTAACTCACTAGCCACATATTCCTTATCTGCTTTCTTCATTAACTCACTAGCCACATATTCCTTATCTACTTTCTTCATTAACTCACTAACCACATATTCCTTATCTGCTTTCTTCATTAACTCACTAGCCACATATTCCTTATCTGCTTTCTTCATTAACTCACTAGCCACATATTCCTTATCTGCTTTCTTCATTAACTCACTAACCACATATTCCTTATCTACTTTCTTCATTAACTCACTAGCCACATATTCCTTATCTGCTTTCTTCATTAACTCACTAGCCACATATTCCTTATCTGCTTTCTTCATTAACTCACTAGCCACATATTCCTTATCTACTTTCTTCATTAACTCACTAGCCACATATTCCTTATCTACTTTCTTCATTAACTCACTAGCCACATATTCCTTATCTGCTTTCTTCATTAACTCACTAGCCACATATTCCTTATCTGCTTTCTTCATTAACTCACTAACCACATATTCCTTATCTACTTTCTTCATTAACTCACTAGCCACATATTCCTTATCTGCTTTCTTCATTAACTCACTAGCCACATATTCCTTATCTACTTTCTTCATTAACTCACTAGCCACATATTCCTTATCTACTTTCTTCATTAACTCACTAGCCACATATTCCTTATCTACTTTCTTCATTAACTCACTAGCCACATATTCCTTATCTGCTTTCTTCATTAACTCACTAGCCACATATTCCTTATCTGCTTTCTTCATTAACTCACTAACCACATATTCCTTATCTGCTTTCTTCATTATGTCATTTAGGAAACCTTTTATGAATTCCTCATTTAAATTAAATCTTCCAATCTTCAAAACTTTAGGAAATGCATTTAATGCGTAATATCTTTGTTCTTCTGGTGGAATTGATGTTATATCATCCGTTATTCCTTTAATTTTTGAATTCATAAATAAAATTTCTTTTATATTTGATATCACTGCACCACCTTTGCAAACGAATTCGAAATGGTCATTTTTCAATACTATCTCCAAATCTCCATATTTCAACCTTTGTGTTTGTTCTGCCGTCTTTGAATTATATGCATATGTGGCGTATGTAATGGTCTGAAGGACCTGGGTGCTTTGCGCCTTAAGTTGCTGTGTTTGCTGTTGTTTAATCATTTATTATGATTTAAAAATAAATATTTAATCCGTTATCTCATCAGCTATTTTTTCTATTTGAAATTGCCATAATATTTCATTCATGAATTCTAAATCACAATCAAATAGGTCAGTTATTCTAAATTTAATATTTGATAAATCTTTTGAATGAAGAATAAATGAATTCCCGGATAATTGAAACGGATATGATAAAGAAAATGTGTTTAAGTTGATGGATAAAATGTTTTGTATTGATGGGTAAGAGTTAGGGTCTAATGTTTGATGTGAAAATCTCATTGGGGTATTAACTTTATCACATTTGATTAAAATGAAATTGGAACCAGTGTCAGAATACAAAACATCCCCAACATCTTTTTCAAAATTTAATATCCCCAACAATGAACGAAAATGAGGAGTACAAAATTTAATTTTCAGCGGAATTTAATAAGGTTATTTATTTCATCAAGTTCAAAAAGTTTATCGGGTTTTGATTTAAAATTTTCTTCATACCATACGATAAATGATTCATTTAAATAACTTAAAATCATATTAATATCCCATTTCGTTATCACATTATTTATATACATATCATACGTTTTTTCATGGTCATCTTTAATAAATGATATATAATCTGAAGGGTCTAAAAGAATGGGATTAAATTTACCACTCACAGAAACGAGAGTAACATTATAAATTCCGCTAACTGTTAAATTTAATTCACAACTATTATTCGAAATAATATTGATAATTGACATTTTTATTACGATTAAAAATATGGTAAAGCGTTATTTTCCAGTGATAAATAAAACTAGAATAAGATTACCTCAAGAATTCATAAATTCAACGAATAAGAAATTCATTCATGTTATAAATTTTAGTGTTTTCAGAAAATACGAGTCAATGTCATATTCATCAACAGGTTATATTTCACTTCATTCAAATTTAGTTCAATCAAACCCATATAATGACCATTTCATAAGATTTTCAGATGGTATTAAAAATGTAATTGATAGATTAAAATATGAACAGATTGACAATATCGAATTTTTGGAATTTTGGTTTAAATATCCTGATGGAAAAAAGATTGAAGTTAAAGATAAAGCTGATACTATAACAAAAACAATTACAATGACCGATCCGGATAGTGGGAAACAAAAAGAAATAAAACAAACGATAGAAACTGGTGAAAGGTCAATTATTATTGATTATGATTCAAAGGATTATTATTCGATAATGTTAATGCTTGAATATTAAATAGCCTTAACAAAGAATTTTTCAAGTGATATTTTATATTCATCAACTATTTTATTGTATATGTTATTATAAGTTAAATGTAGTTCAGTTGTTGTTCCATTCTTTGATATCTTAATTGTGCTAATATCCTTTATAGGATTTATTTTTGCAACTGTTCCGCAGCATGAAACCTCATCATCTATGAAAAATTGAATCTTAACGTCTGAATCTTGAACATCACAAAGAATGGCGATAATGTGAATTAATGATTCATAAGGTAAAATAATTAAACCGGATTGATCAATTAAATTTATTATTGAATCATAATTATTAATTATTATATCACGGTAAATTTTCATTAATTCAGAATTAATGTCTATTTTATATGGGTTCTCGATGTTTGATGAAAGAGGTGGGGGGTATGTTGGATAAGTGGGAATTTCAACAGGTTCTTTACCAGGTTCAGATAAAATGATTGGGTCTTCATCTTCTTTATTTTGCTCCTCCTCTTTCTTTGGTAAGTCACGAGTTAATAAATTTGGTTGAGTTGCTGACCTTGTTAATTCAGGGCTAACATTAACTTTAACATTTTGAATAATTCGTGATTTATCATCATTTACGTTATAACCAACCGTAATCTCTGCTTTTGCGTTAGTGTTCTTTTGACTTGTGAAACGTCTTCTCATTTATAATTGAATAAAAAAAAGAAAAATATATTTAAAGTTTTATTTAGTTGTTACGGTAATATCCCAAGGTTCATCCTTGTTTGCTTATACTTTCTTTGTAACTGCACCAATTATGTTATTGATAATGATTTGAGTTTCTCCCAGTCTTATTTTATCATTTACAATATCTTTAATCATTTCATTACATGCATTCTTAAAACCATCTGATTTTTCTAATTTACGTCTATCACTTTCTTTAATTAAATCAAAGTTATAACCTTGTTGAGAATAAAGTGGTTTCTTTATCAATTCCTTGAACGCTTCTGAAAGTGAAGATGAAGAAATTCTTGCCACTTGAATTGGTTTAAATTCTGCTTTCATTGCTTCTTTCTGTTCATTGAACACTGGATCGAATAAAGCAACTTTAAAGAATTTCTTAGCTGAAATTTCGGGTCTAATATTTGCATATTGACCATCAAACTGATTAACATATCGTGGTAATCCATCCGGTCCCTCTTCAATAGCATTTAATTCTTCATTGAAATAAGAATATGGATTATGACGGTATGAATTAATTGGACCATTTTCACCTTCTCCAATGTATTGTTTAACAGCTTTTCCATTTTCATCAAATTGCATAGGATAACGTTCATTATATGCTTTACGTTTAGGATAATCCGTCATTGTTAATTTATAACCATTTATGACTTTAATATTACCTTGACCATCAGTAACGAAAACTTCATTTATACCATCAGGTTTTCCATTTGGACCCGTAATGTCTGCTTCATGTGCTTCCCAATTTGGACCTTGACGTTTGGCATATGCTTGAGCTTCTGGTAATGTTAAAACGTTTCTCATTTGTTTAACATCTTTTTGAAGACCAGCAACAATATGAACTAATTCTTTCATTCCATCAGGAACTTTCATAGTTCTATTATATGCACCCTTTTTGTTTGTTCCTTGTTTTAATGGAACCTGTAGAAGATTTGCTATTTCTGTCATGTTTAATTATAAATAAAAAATAAAAATTAATTATAAAAAGTTAATCAAATTTAACACTTCCTTTATTTAAATCAACTATTATTTTTCCATGTTCACCTAATTGTTGATATTGTGTGTAAAGTTCATTAATGCTCATTGGTAAATTCACTTGATAAAGCATAACGTTCAACTGTTGACGACTAAAACCACTGAAAATGAAAAGGGTGGACAGGTTTGATTTAATGTTTGTGCTTAATGCTTTAAAGTATTGAACAGCCATAAAGAATGAACATTGAATATGTCGACATTGAGTTAATAATTGATTAAAATATGATTTCTCATTAGTTATTAGTTTTGATTTCACGGCATCATCTAGAAAAATTAGTGAATGCAAAAATTCTTTATCAAAATTTGAAATAGAAAGTGTTTCAAATAATTCATCCCGTTGTTTATCAATAATTTTATCCTCTAATCCTTGCTTCTTGATTGTATTATATAATTCTTTATACATTAAAAAGTTTTTTAAATAATCTTCTGCTTCTTCTTGTGATAAATAAATAATTGGAATTTTGATTAAATGCTTTAAAGATTCAAATGTATCATCTGAAGGTGAACCTGAACGGTTGATATAAATTAACACATGTGAATAGGGGGAAGTGTTAGCAATAATGATAATTTGTTTTAATATCGTTAATGTTTTACCTTTATTTTGTTTACCAATTGCTGCAGTGATTGAATTTAAGTAACATTCAGAATATGGAATTTTCATTAATTTTTCCTTAGATAAAGCATTTCTATTATCACTCAATGCTTCATTAATCATATCATCTACGTATGTATTATATACTCCTGCTAATTCTTCATAAGGGGTGGATGAATTTAAATCCATTTAATCAAAAATAAATTTATAATTTTAAACATTTCTATTCATCAATATTTCATCATATGAACTTCTATACTGTGGTGGTGTACCTGTTGGATGATATTTCAAACCTTCATCCGGTGTCCATGTCCAATATGTAGTCCTAGTAAACCAAACCTGAGGAGGATTTGTCACCTTTGAACAGTAAGTGTCATTTTCACCCTGAATGATTGGATAAGCTTTCACTTGTACTGTAACTTGTGAGTTGAAAGTTTCTAATCCATCAAAGAATATACCCGCTCCATCACGTTGAACTGGAATAGTGCATAAGAATGAAGTTTGGTCTTTCCATGTTCTAGCTAATGGTGTGCCATTATCATCATTCAGTGGTCTAGTTAATGAGTCCTCGTATTCTTCTGTGCATTCATTCACTCCATCTAAATCAGAAGCTTGAAGCATACGTGTAAAGAATATGTCGCCCACTGTGGTCATCGCTTGATCGGGGAAGTTTCTGGAATCTATAGTGACCTGAAGACCTCGAAGCATTGGATTTTCTAAAACTGTTCTTTGCATTGCATTTTTCGGAAATGTTAACACAACATCTGTAACATTATGAAGAGCGTATGAGAAATCTGAGCTAATACCTTCAGGAGTGATGCAACCTCCATTTAGTGAACGAACGTCAATATGTTGAGCTGGAATCATGAATGGATCTTCCTTACTGAATAAACGTGGTATTGCTTTAACTGATTCTTCAATTAAACCATATCCTGGTGTAATGCATTTATCCTCTAAAACTTCCATCTTTGTGCATGAAATAATAACGTCATCAACTGTTGCGTCAGCAGATGTAGCGGCTAAGCCTGTAATTAATTTGGTAGGAAGTCCGATTTGTTGGAATTTGCGATCATATTTATAAACATGATTCATAATCTTTTCATAATTTTCATCAGTTATCTTTTCATAAACGTAATTTTGTAAATCATCAACTCTTAACGGGTCAACCTGACAAAATACTAAAGTATCCCTGAAAACATAATATTTAAGAATGATATCACCAAATGATTTAGGATAATCATCGAACGCCTGAAATGCTAACAAATCATTTACCGGAATAATCATATCAAAAGTGACATCAACTTCTTCATTTGCTTTCTTGAAAACTTCTGAAGGGTCAATATATTTTCCACATACTGAGTTATCATATTTTTGAACATTATTATATAACGAATGAACAAACTTTTTAACTTTCCTTTCTGATTTCGGTTTATATGTTGCAAATGCGAAAGATTCACGGGCACAATCCATCTGAAGATAACCAGCATCACCTCTTTCAGTTTCTACTTCTAATTGTTTAAAGCTTTGATTTGATGATTTGTAACCAACGAATAAACGCATGCATTTAAAAGCGGCATCACATGTGAAAGCTTTATTTGAAACTAGAGTTGCTTTAACTTTGCGTTTAATATATGTGTCACCTAATTGGTTCACATCATGAGCCGGATTTGTAATTCTTAAATGAGTTTGTTTATCATCAAAATATGGAGTATCAGAGTCATAGCATGAACTTTCAAGTTCTCTATAATATCTTCTACCGTCATTCTTTGCAAATATTTCATTTATCTTTTCGAATGAATGAAACACATTTCCATTAATCGGTTTGGTGTTTGGCACTAAATAGTTAGTCGTCATTTATTAATAAATAAAAAATCAAAATTAAAAGATGGAAATGAATTTTTTAATTAATATTAAATCAACTATGGCTGCAGGTATATTTAAAAAATTATGGGATAAAGTAAAAAGAGGAGCGAGTAAAGTTTGGGAAACATTGAAGAAGGGGGCAAATTGGATATTTAAGAATAAAGAAGCAATTAGTGACGTTGCTGAATCAATAACACCAAAAGCTGCCCCAATAAGAGAAATTTTAAATAAAGGAGAAAAAGTTTATCAAAGACTACAACCGATACTGAGATAAAAATAATATTTATTTATTTATTTTTCCACTATTTACCTCCTATTTTATTAAGTATTCCTTCAGCAATTCCACCAACTGCGTTACCTGCTTGTGCTCCCATCGCCGGATTACCTGCTTTAGCACCTAATACTCCACCTATGATAGTTCCTGCCGTTTTCGCTACTGGTGCCAAAAAGTTTGCAACAGGTTTAATAATCTTTTGATGAACCCAACCCGCAGCTTTCTTAATTCCATCCCATAATTTTTTAAAGAATCCTGCAGCCATTTCTGATTATTTCATTAAAATTAAAAATATATTTCATCACTTATATTCTAATTTTTATTTAATGATAAATGAAACCAATTTTAAAAATAAATGAAACAGAGGAGGAAGAAATAAATGAAAGTGAAAATGTTCAACAAAAAATAAACGTTGTTAAACCAATTACTGAAATAAAAAAATTTTCATCTGTTGAAGAATTTAATGACTATTATGCCAATAATAAAAAATTATTTGAAGAATTGACAACATGTAAATTGAATAAAATGTTTAAAGTTGATGGATTCAAAATTTCAAAAATAAAAGGAGTGGTTAGTTTGAAATCTATTCCTCAATCAAGAATCACCTCATTAATGAAAATAGATGATTTAACAAAAAGAATAGAAGAGATTGAAGAGCGAATAAATCAAATAATTGATTTCATAAATTCAAATAATCATTAGTTTCAATTTATTTTTCTCATTTATGACTCCATTGATTATGACATCATTGATTCCATTCATGATTTAAACAATGTTTAATTAATCGCGGAATATCTGACATCATCTATATATAGCTTCTTTTATAAAAGATAAAAATAAATTATTTTAAAATTAATGTTAATTTTTTAATGATTTATTATTTATTTCATATGTTAAAAAATGATACAAAATCGCTCGATATTGTATGAATTCTTACATTTACAAAAAAAGTCACACAACCCGCTATATATACTACTAATTTAGTCAAAGAGTTATAAGCCTCAAGTGATCGTTATCACCTTCACTGCATGTATACTTTATTGATTCATAGATATTTAATCTATGTTTGACATGTTGTTGTCGTCATTCGTTTTGTTCCCATTCTTCCTAAGTTAGAATTAGAGAATACACCATCTACATCATCTAATTTGGTCCTCAGCGATAGATTGGTTCATTTTGGAGGAGTCCCATCAGACAGTTTTCGAGCACCAAATATCAAATTTTAATGTATACAAATCTTTAGTGATTTATCTCTTTTATGATGAGTAAAAGGTTTCTGCTCATCAACATTTGATTTCCGACATATATGATTTCTAATTGCAATTATTTACTTTCTTTTTATAATCTAACTCTGTGACTCATACCATAAATTAATTATTGGAAAGTGTCAATATGTTTGGCACAACGCATGGCGGAAGATACCAAACCATGCAGGGAATATGATACGTTTAAGATCTCCGAACTTTTTTTCCAAAAATTTTCTATCGTTGCCCTACCTCTTTTTCTTGTTATCAAAAAATAATTTTAATATTTGTTTATTTCATTACATACAATAAAATTTTAAAAACTCTATTTCTTCACAAGAAAATTTTTTTCCTTCATATGAAGAAACATTTTGTTCTCCATTTGATGCTGAGTCTAAATCTCGATTTTTGAATTTTCTTCTTTCCAAATTTCTTTTTTCCAAATTAGAAATTTAATTCAAATTTTCAATAGTTTATATATTTTCTCAAACCGTCTTAGATTTTCTCACTTTTTAGGGATTTTCTCTCAAAATATACAAAAATAGTAATACCAATACATGTGTCTAATATACTTTAAAACCATCGTGATAAAATTCAAAAACGAAGAGTTCTTCTCTCCAAATTTTTTTCAAAATCAAAAAAATGAGATAAAAAAATACGTTTGGAAAATTCATTTTTAGCATTTTAGGAATTTTCTCACTTTTCTTCCAAATTGACATCCTTACTATGCTGCGTCAATCATTCTCGAAAACTTAATTTTATTTACAAAATGACACTTTTTAAAGATTGTCAAAAGAGGGAAAGTTTATTTAGGGATTTACATGTCGTCTTTCACAGTATTAATATTTATTTGTGGCGTGATCATCCCATGCATGAAATTTTCTCTTGAAATCAATAATAACAAGAAAAATCAAAGGAATTTAAAACATATTGCAACAGTTTTATTCTATATTGTCATTGATTCTCTTTTAAATAACCAAATTATTGGATTCATACTATTTATTTTAACATTGGCTATATCATACACTTCTTATTCAAATCCAAATCCAACTTATTCTTTGCTGAATTCAATTTATAATTCTCATTATGCAAATATCTTTATTACATACTGCGAGCAGTTTGAAATGATATTTTTAAAACTAATTCAACTCATTGAATCAATTTTTTATAAAATTTTCGATTTAATCATATAATTCTAAGGATCCATTTTTGAGAATTTCTCAATTAAAAAACTTTTAATATTCCTATTTTAATTATCCTCACCTTGAATCAAGAAATTAAATATTATATCCATGCGGATAAAAAGACCTCCGATCAACATTAACGAGGACATTGATCTTCCCACAAAGATTACTAATTGTTACTTGGTTCACATCGCTAAGTTGACAATATTAACTCCAGGTTTAAAAAAGAGTTAATATGAAGCGTTTTTTTTTATTTTAATTTAAAGGTGCACTTCCACTTTCTGATATGCTCCCATAATATCAATATATCTTTTTTGTGATTGCAAAAAAGTATTACAGTAATATAAGGTACTAAGTAGTGATTTAAAAAAACTTCTTCCCGAACAAAGTTAATGACTTTTTATCTTAGAAAATTTGGATAAAAAACTTGAATGTCAAAAAAATTGAAAGAATGTCAGAAAGTGGTAAGTGCACCCTTAAGGGTTAACTTACACCTATCTGACTTTAATTAAAATTTCTGACAACAGGCGGAGTATCATTGAAAATAAGCTTTAAACAACATAATTGAATGCCATATCATACATACTTAAGTGCTCTATCAAGGACTAAAAAATTAAAATTTATTCTCTTCTTCATGATTGCACGTGGATTGATTTTCATCAATAAAAAAACATCAATTTTTAAAAGAAGAACGTGAAAAAACAAAAAGATATTATTTTCTTATCAATTTAACCAAATCTGGATGAATATGAAACATTGAGATGTCTTCTTCTGGAATATCCAGTTTTTCATAACCATATTCGAATAGTAAGTTAATTATATCAACATTTTCTCGAACAGCCGCCCAAAACAATGCATTTTTGAGAATATCATCAGATTTGCGGTTAATTGGAACTTTGTGTTCAATAAGAATTTTAACAATGTCAATGTTATTCAGTTTAGCAGCCTGAAGATAATAGTCTGGGATTATTGCTTGGCGTGATTTTTGGACATAATAGTCATTAATCGGGATAATCCTTGGAGTGAAGTATCCTTTAATTAGCTCACACTTTTCCATGAGATTTAAAAGCAAACGAACACATTCTGGTGAATTCATTTCGATCGCTTTAATAAGCCAATGATCATTTTCACTTGGAAATTGATCAAGGTAATCGCCGCTATCAATCTCAGTATTCTTCAATATGAAAATGCTAACACTTTCATTTTTGACTTGCAAAGCTTTTGACAAACACATAAGGAAAACTTCTAATGAACAACTGTTGAGTGAATATTTTTTAACATAGTTAAAAAATCCCGTTGGCTTATCATCGCCATTAATTAATAAACAAAGATTACTATACAACATGTATTCATCGGCATGGTCGATCAAGAAACACATAGATTTATCATCGCTGCATAATTCGAGTGTGTTTTCTGTGACTTTTGCTCCATGTTCAATAAGAATTTTAATAATTTCGAAGTTTCCATTCATTGAGTGATAGTCAAGAAGTGTGTTGCAGTATTCAGACCCTTTTGCATGTGCTTTACCACCGTGAGATAGAATAAGTTGATAAGCTTCAAGGTTATCATGTTCTGCGCAGTCCATGACGTTATAAAAATTATACCTTGGATCATCAAATTCATACTCATATTCATCCTCTTCTTCCTCTTCTTCTTTATAACCATAGTAAAAATTGTTCCAAAAGTTGTGTTTTTCTTTTTTCCTGTTTTTATATTCTTCCTTTAGTTTTTTTCTGAATAAAATAACATTCTTATCAAGAAGATATACAATTAAATCAATATGTCCTTTGAAAAATGCAAACTTCATAATATAAAATCCATTATTACCTTCAAGATCGATTTGATAGTTTCTCACAATATAATCAACTAAATCCGGCTTAAAATCCAAAAATTTTTCTTCATCATTAAATTCTGAATTAAACTGTTTGACATTAAAACTTTGAAAATGATCAAATATGTATATCATCTCATCAAGACCGGACCATGTCAAAATCTCTGGTAAATTAGGAGTAATTATTTTTCTTTCTAAGAAAAATTTCATCAAATCCATATCAGGCAACACATCCTGAACTAGTCTTTTTGGTAATTCAAAACTAGTTGACGTATTTCTTTGAGTCAATTGATAAACCTTTTCATAAAGATCAAGATCATGAATCTTATGGAAAATTAAAAATGACAAAGGGTGCAATAAAAATCCATCGGAATAGCACAATCCTAAATCATATAAAATGTTGAAATAATCATATCTTTCGTTAATTAAACAATCAGAGATAATTGATATATCTGCTTCATCATGAAGTCGTGGAAAACTATAATCTTGTTCTTTTAATGTCAAATTTTGTTTGTAATGAATGAAAAATTCAAGAACAGATTTGAACTTTGATCTGAAATAAACAGCAATCAATTTCGAATAATCTGAACAATTGTTATTTTCCAAACAGAAAATAATTGATTTGATGAAGGATAAATAAACATATGATGGCTTATATTGTTTATAATTTTCAAGAAGCCATGTAATTAAATCAGAATTACGTGTTTTAAAAGCTTCTGACAAACAATAATTATATTTAATACCATTTTGCTCAAGTAATCGTATAATTTCTATATTCCCTGATGAAACTATTTTAGTTGCTAAATATGATTTTGAAAACAACGCTTGTTTCAATAATTGCTCAAAATCTCCGCTGATAAGTAAGTATTTGACAATGTTAACTGATGGATTTTGAATTAACACAGATTCAACAATATTGAAATAATTTGGATTAGATTTATCAAAATGCTGTTGAAATTTTGCTACATCATCATCAAGCATGATTTGTGTTAATTCATCTGGTGGCTCACGTGGTGTCATTTCTGGTTTTTTGTGCAATTTTGCAAGCTCAGGAGGGAGCATTATATTTATTCCAGCGTTATATGCTATATGATATAAATCTAAGTTCCTCGTTCTGATTATTGGATTGAATATCTTGCCAAGAGTTTGTAGTATTTGAAAATGCAAATTATCTGGATAACATTGGACCAAATCTCCATCAACAAATAATTCTAACAAGTATTTGAAATTATTAGCTTGTGTTTCGCCTGGGCCATCTGTAATAAACTTTTTAAAGAAGTTGACTGTTGTTTCGAAATTTTCTTTGTTTAGGTTAAAGTAATGTGATTCTGCTTCATACAATGGCTGAAATGGTTCGGGGATAACAACATCATCGAAGTTTTTGATCTTTAAGTCTTCATAAACAATTTTATCATTTTCCATTTATTTTTATTTTTGGAAAATGAATTGCATCATAAACTGTCGAATGCCTAAAACCATTGAAATATTTAGATAGTTATCATAAAATTTAGATGATAGAAAACTTGGTTATTGTTATTCATGGTTATATGGATGACGGTGGCCAAATGTGGCATCCATGGATTAAAAACAAATTCACAAGAGGAAACACTACCGTTTTAACACCAACATTCCCAAATTCAGAAGATCCCAAATTCGATGAGTGGAATTCTTTATTTCTAGATATAATACAGTCATACAAATACAATAAATTGTTTGTTATCGGCCATTCTCTAGGTGGATTTTTTGTTTTGAAAGTTTTGCAAGAATATCTCTACCAAAACACAAAACTTTCTGGAATTTTATTAATTTCTCCTATAACAGATAATGATTCGAAGTTTAATCTAGGGTTTATGAAAGAAAAAATCTGTTGGGGCTCTGAAAATAAGTTTCATTTTCCGATTATTTACATATATAGTATTGATGACCACACTGTTAAACATTTACACCGTGATCTTATACTCAAACACATGAAAAATTGTCCAAAATTCGAGTACTTTGAATATAATGGTTGTGATCATTTTTGCGGACTAGAACATGAAGAAATATCAGTAAACCTGAGTAGACTACTCGAATATAAGTAATCATCCCAGTTAAATATATTTTTTTGAGAAATATTTCTTTTCTGAATTCTTTAATACAGCTGCTTGTTTTGTGTAACTTTTTTGTTCAAAACACTGTGATTTTCTGTTAAGTTATCAGGGAAAAATTTGAATACCATGATACAACCATAATTTACTTGAAAATGAAAATAAATTTGATGCCGAGAGCTTCACAATAATGGTGAGTTTATTATTAGGGAAATTTGTATAACAGATATATCTGATTACGAAATATTCCATATTAACATGGATGATTAATAATTTTTTTTGTTGAAATCAATATAAATCTTCTTTAAGAATCAGAAACACATATCTGTTTTTATTTTTGGTGATGAATATCGTGAAAATAAACTCATTCTAATTCTCTTGCTTTAATTTTTCTATTTTCAGAACTTGCAACCTAATGATATTATGTTATTATGCTATTGCGATATTTTTTTTTAATAAAATATATACGTTTAAAAAATCAAAAGTGACGGAAAAATTGATGGAAGTTCCAGAAAGAGACAAATCAATACGATTTGGGCTCGAGAAATTATACGAATTTCCATTTCAGGGCAAGAGAGTATATTCTTTTTGCAAAATAAGCAAGTGGGAGTACCTTGTTGCAAGCCAAACAGGATTGCAATTATTCAAAGATGGCAATATGGTAGAAAACTTTCCTATATATCTTACTTTTGTTCAGTATATTCCAGAGCTTGATATTATTTTAGGCGTTTCGACCGGTGTCCCATATTTAGTTTTTATTTCAAATAGAAAGAAAAAGCTTCAATCTCCTGTCAAATTTCGATTAACGATTTCGCTCGTAAAGCAAGCAGAATACTCGCACAAGACAAACACACTGATTGTCAATGGTGCAGGAATAGAATGCGTTTGCTTGAAATCAATTTATAAATTACAACAAGATTTTCCAACTATAACAGTTTTCAGTAAATTTAAAATTAATAACCCTTTAATTGGCAGCAAAATATTCGTTGATAATATAAAAGAAAGAATCATAGCAATGACACAAACAGGATTTATGTATTTTGATTTTTACGGCAAACAAATTGGAAATGAAATCACCTTAAATTTCACCACTATCAAAACTGCCACGGCTATCTTTAGAGAAAAAAACACGACAATCAATGACCATTATAAAAGAATGCTCATCACTGATTTGGATGGTCAAGTTCTATTTTACCATTCAAGCGGGAAATTACTAAATTCGTTCATTGTTTCGAATCGCCAGTTTCAATTTACTCAATTCGTTAATTCTGAATTTGTTGTTTGTTGTTCAGAGAAAACCGTATCTTTATTGGATGTTAAAACTGGAATGATTTTGTATTGTGATGAATTTGAATACCAGCCTACTATGACATTATTTTTCAATGGTCCATCAATAGGCTTTTTGATTGACGGAGATATACACATATATGAAATAATAATGCCCTGGAAGTTATTCCAACATGATTCATCTCAATCAATTTTCATGAAGAGATTTAGCGGATATGATAAAAATATTCCTGGAAGAATTGTTAAATTATCTAAGTCTGGGATTGTTTCTTTAGTTTCTCCTCAAAATGGATTTCTTTTATCGAGTTGCACTTCTAACTCTGCACAAGTAATCACATCCGTTTTCTATGATAGAGGCTACTTGTTCTTCAATGGGACAATGGAGAATTTGAGCTCTGAAGAAAGATTGTTTTTGATACAAGAAAATGGTATGGTCGATTTGTTTTATTTGCAAAATAATGATTTTATTTACAGTGAAACATTGAAATGGGCAGCAAACAAAATCTTGCCAATTAAAATGACAAATAGATTTGCATTTGCTGTTTTGAACAAATATAGAGATTTGGTATTTTATGATTATAATGATTTTTCTGTATTGACAAGGAAAAAAATTGATTACAAGAAATTCCAAAACGCATTTTTTGATAGCTTGCTGAATTTACTGGTAATTGTATACGTAGATATCGTTGTTATTTACTCAACAAATGAAAAGAAAGTTATAAAAGAAATTCACAAAAAAATGACGAAACTCTCTGCGATGGAAAACTCGAAGTTAATATTTTCTAATACTAATAAAACTGTATCGATTTACGATGTTTCTAAAAATGGCTTGATTGAAAGAGCTGTGATGAACATGAGCGATGAAGTCACCAGTATTAATATTGAGTATTCGATCATATATATATTGACAAGGATGAATACAATTTATATTGGAAATGACCAAGGGGAAATGACAAAAATTTACATTCCTTTCAAAGTTCACTGTCTTTGCTTACTGAATAAGAAATTTGATTTATTAGTTTGCGTTGATAGAAATATAATGCAAATTGAAGGTTCTAATTTTTCTAATTTGAAAAATGATAATTTTGAATATGATGAAGACGATTCTGTTCAAAACGAAATACTCCTGACAAATGGGATCATTTTTAATAATCTTAATGATAATATGTATTACATCACCGAACCTGATAATTCTTCTCGCAGATCATCAAGGAAATTCAAAACTTTGCAAAATGCAATTGAAGAGTATCAAAGATCTCATACTATTTTGCCCGAATTCGAAGAGGAGGAAGAAATTAAGCCTAAAGTTGTGATTTCGTTGCCAAGAGAAAGACAACCAGTTAAAAACATTGAAAATAGAGATTCTGTTCTCAAGGAGATGCTACAACTTGAAGCAAATGTAGAATTACCTGTTGATATAAACAAAATTTTGAAGAAACAAAAAACCACTCCAGAAGAAGAAAAAATAGTTGATAATAAACCTCAAATTGAAGTTAAACAAATAGAGAATAATACACAGAACAAAGACGAGGAAGAAGAAGCTAAGGATGTCAATAAAATTGATATTCCGAATATAATGAAAACTAGAAAGAAAAAGAAGAAGATAAAGCATAAAAAAGAAAAACCGGAAGTTGTGGAGGAACCTCAGCCTAAGCCTTTGATTCTAGGAAATTCTACAAGTAAAAGAAGGCAAAGATCTCAGTCTCAACATGTTATTGAAATTGATAGATCGTTATTATCTGTCAAACCAAAACAAATCGAAACTCCTCAAAGAAAATATTCGGAATTCCATATGCCTCCGAAAATCCCTATTAAGCCGAATCAAAAAACTGAGGATGAACCTCAAATAGTCGTTAATCCTCCAAAAAATCCTACCAAGGATGAACTTTTCGATAATTCAACTGAGCAAAGTTTAATTAAGAATTCAAGAGGGGAAACAGTTTCTAATTTCACCGAAATTTTTGACAGACAGCAAGAATCTAATAAGATTCATACAATTAGTACACAAAAGAAACCAGAAAGTCACGTTCACACAAGAAAACTTGCGAAACTAAAACCAATCGTTAAGACAACTGCAAAAACAATTAATATTCCAAGTGTTATCACTGAAAAACTTGAAGTGGCCAAATACGAACAGAGTAATTCAAGTGCCAGTAATTTATCAATTAATTCTGATATCGAAAAGATAGACTCCAATATCTCTTGGGAAGAATTATCAAATGATAATTTTACTGAGTTTTCTTCACCAGCTCAAGATAAAATTCATCCTGAAAATCCTTCAATTATTGAGAATACCTCTGTTATTAATGAAGTAATCAATGATGTTATAGAAGAAGCTCCAAAACAAATTGCTCAATTTTTGAGTCAATCATCAGAGAGCTCTTCAATCGTTGAGGCAAGCCATCAAAATTCTGTTGATTCTGTTGATGAAAATTCGGCCAAAGAAGAAGAAATCAAGAAAAAGATTGAAGAACTTTCTTTAAAGGTTAAAGAACCGAATTTGATTCGATCAAATCCAAGAAATCAAGCTCAAAAAGTAAGTTCAAGAAGATCAGAAATTATCAAAAAAGCTATCGAAGACAACAGAAGACTTAACAACTCTGTGAATAGTGATTATTCACCAAATCAACAAAATGACAAAAAACATTTTGAAAGAAAGCCAATGATTTCTCTGATTCCGCAAATTTCAACTCAGAGAAAATTTGATCTTACGCCAAACAAAATTCAAACTAATTTAGATGATAAAGAGTTATCAGAAATTGTTAATCAATGTTTATTTGACGAAATGACAAGCTCAAAATCGTATAATATGGAGAATATGCAACAGATATTCTCAAGATCAGGAAGAAGGATGCTCATTACTCAAGAAGATTGCAAAAAGCTATTAGAAAAGTTCAGAATGATGAACATAAATTATGAATCAATAAAATTTAAAAAGATTCCAAGTGGAATGAAAATTGCTCCTAAACAAATGATTTATCCAAAATCACTTACTTTACCGAAACTTAAAAATGGGGAGAAATTACAGGAAATTGTTGATTCTGACCTTGAATACTCCGATGATGAAAAACTGGATACCAATGATGATTTTGTATCATCTGAATTAGATGGATCGTTTGTTAAAGAATCATCATTTGATAGCTTCAAGAGTTTGGGATCCCAAGTTAATCCACCAAAGATCTTTGATAATAGATGTTTTCAAATTGAGGAAGAGCAACTTAACATGGATGGCACAAAGAAAAAGAGAATTAATTATTTTTAATATAATTTTTATGTTTGTAAATATACTATTTATACTAGCTTTTAAACATACTTAGTTATTGTTAATGTAATACCTTATGAATAGTTGTTAAACTTTCCAATATTTTAGATTCTTATGATTTTAATTGATATTGGGTTTTAATACATACACATTTAAATGATAAAATAAGTTTCACATTATATACCCCAAATAAACTAAAAAATACATAGATTTTTTATCAATTAACATCAAGCTTCATTAAATCTAAATAAAAATCGGAGAAAAAGGATTTGCATATAAATTCAAATTAAATGAAACAACATTACTTGGAAATGGATCATTATTCGTCAAAGAATGAAATCATTCTCAAAATTAGCGGTTATAATAAAAATGGTCACGATGTTATAATGCAATTATGCTTCCTTCAATATTATCCTTAAAATGGTTAATAAAAATGATCGCTGGTATTCAAAAAATTGAATTTCGATTAAATTGATAATCATTTGAAGATGAAAATCGTTGAGTGGAGATGTATTCTCCCTATGACTGTTGAGCAGGAGAATGGCTCTGAAAGGTATGCAATTGCTCATAGAACCATGGATGATACTGACGAAAAAGGAGGAATTCAAAGAGAAATTTTCGAACAGCGCCAATACCACGAAAAAGATGCACTTTATACAAAGCTTCGTTACAGGTATAAGAAGAAAATCCCAACGCTTCTGAAATGGTTCCTTCCTTCCTATATAACAGAAGTAATCGAAGAAACCTACGATCAGTTTCCACTAAAAACATCATTATATAGTATAAATAATAAACCAGAAATCCTTAAATTCTCAGTAACACAAATTGTTAGCGAATTCATCGGCGAAGATCAAGTTTACGATGATGACACTTATTACACTCCTGAGGAGCTTAAATAGCGCCAGATTTACTATCTTGATGTCCTCAATTATGATTCTGCTAAAGCGAAGGAATTTAATATTCATAACTTCGAATGTCCTGAAATAAATCTTCAAAAACTTCCAGGTCCAGCCAAGTGTGATAAGAACAAAGTTCCTGAATGGACTAAAGAGTATAAAGGACCAATGTGTATGGTCAGAAAAATCATTCGTATCCAGATTTCACTTTTTGGCATTTCTAGAATTGGTGAAGATCTTATTTCTGGAACGTTCTTACCAGGGTTGTACTCTGACATGCACAAAGGCCAAATATTTTGGGCAAAGGAATGGGCAAAGCTTTCTCTTGATGATATTACAAAATATGAAGGAGAGATCTATGCTAAAATATTAGATATACTTACAAAGAATGGATGCCTAGAATAAACATTTTATTTTATGAAAGCTGAATTGAGGGAAAATTCTAAAATTTTGTGTATAGTAAATAGACCAATTATGAGTTTTCTTCAAATTTTTCGTAAACGATTCATTTGACATAATTGTGAATGAAATTTTTGATTAAAAATGAAACAATACCATATATCATGCAAAAATTTATTTAATAAAATTAAAAACAAATCTATAATTTCACTTTATTAACATAAATAATCTAATTTTATTTCTTATTTTCAATATAAGAATCAATAAGTTTTTGCTTTGGAGTTGGCAAAGTCCTTATAATCTTCATTATGTTAGAACCAAACTCATTTGCAAGAGTTGCAATGCATAAAACTGCTGCTTTTCTGATTACAATACTGTTGTTGCTCAAATAGTCGATTAGTTTATTAGTAATTGATTCTGATTGATCTTCAATAATATCTCTATAATTAACAGCAAGGAATGATATTTCATTTATGCACGCCGCTGCAAATTGCTTGTTTTCACCATCCAAAGGCTCATATAACATATTTATTATCTCTTCTGGAGTCATTGTGTCTTCTATTGTCAGGAGGATCTTTCTAGAGCTTACAGATCGCTTAAATCCAGGAGCGGTAAATAGCCCACACAAGAAAACATCATATTCTTCAATGCCTTTCATATCAATAATATTAAATAGTAAATCAAAAACTGTTTCTTTGATTTCAACAGGTTCGATTGCAGCTACAATCTTTTCGTAAATTTGCCTTCTATTTGCCTGCCATTCATCATCGGTTAAAGACTTGATTAGATTGAATAAGTTTTCTCCCCACTCTTCAAAATCTTCTTCGGGATTATAATCTGGTATTGAAACATCTTCTTCATCATTGCATAAAATCTCATCAATAATAAATAGAAAATCTTCGCTGCAAGAATTTCGAAATTCTTTGAGAAGCAATTTATTATTTTCTGCAATAAATAATGTAATCTTCTTTGCTTCTGCTTCATGATTCTTATATTGTCGTTCTGCAATTTTCAGTAATTTCAAATCAGATTCTCTATTTGAGAATTTGTCGCCCTGTAAACCAACAATTTCTGCTATGTAAGACAATAGAAATACTGATGGGAGTTGTGCAGCGCAGTAATCTATAAGCAAGTTCGGATCATACGAATCTGTGATAATTGTTAAGATACTTCTAACTAATTCATTATCTCCAGTAATACCAAAGAATACTTGGAATAATTTTCCTAATGAGTTTTCGAAATCCTTTGGGTACTCTTGAATAAGATAATAAATTAACATTAATGTCCTATCTGTGAATTCTCCTTCATTAATTGTTATGGTATTCATCAGTCCGTGAACTATTGATATGATATTTGATCGGATGAAATTGTTGTCTTGATTGGAGCGTGATTCTTCGATCTTTTGAAGAAATTCATTTTCTTTTCCGTTATCAAGCTTGAATTTCATTGATTTACTTCTCCTTTGTGGCAATTTTGATTTCTTTTTTGAGTGGGAATTATTTGATGCTGATTCATTGATGGTGTCGCTGAATCTTGGATTTTTGAAAACAATTTCTTGAAAATCTTGATCATTTTCTTCAGAAATTTCATTATCTTGTGGCATTTTTGGAATTTGGGCATTTAAAATTGCTTCCCTTTGCTTCGAATTCAAATTTTCGAGTAATTCTTGTTTGTAATTTGGGTATTTTTCAATTAACAGTTTGGAAGCTGATTTAGCATTGAGTCGAGTTTCTGCATTGGAATCATTTAGTAACTTAAGAAGTGCTTTCTTAATTTTTTCAGAATTATTTTCAATAATGGACTCCGGCCAGTTATCTAATATAAACAAAATTGCATCAGATACAATTTTTCGATTTATAGTTGCTTTAGACCTTAAAAGGTCGAAAACATTTTTGAGGATTTGAGATTTTGGACAATTTTTGACAATTTCAAGTATAGTAAGCTGACAAGAATGAGCAATAATCATTGTTCCATTGGATGTTTGCTTGGAAAGGTAATCTATGATGTTAGCGATAATCGTTATTTTCGATTTTAGCTTTTGAGCAAGTAATGATATAAATAGACATGTTGATTTTACAACTGCGCTCCTTGAGCTGAGAATTCCTGCAATTAAACCTGGAATCAAAGTGTTAACATCTGATGTACAACTTTCGAAATTTAGCAATCCTCCATTTATCAGAGAAATTGCCCTTTTAACTGCTTTGACATATTCAAACCATTCAAAAATTTCGACAATATTATCTGCTAAATAGTGCATTTCTTTTTTTGCATTTCTTTCGGAATCAACAGCGATGGAAGGATAATCTTTTCCAGCATCTATGAAGCTAATTTTGTTACTGCTCATAAGATCTTCTTTTGATGGAAAGCCACTCTTATGATGTGAATCCATATAAAAATTAAAAAAAAAGAAACTGATTTAAATTTTTTATATAGAAATCTCTCAATAAAACATATATAAGTTAATGTAAAATAAACTCAATTAGCTTTTAAGTGAATTTTTCAAAATTCAAAAAAATTATTGAAGAGTTATGCAGTTTTGGGCTTGTACCATATGCATTTTTCCTTGTATATGAAAGTACCCAAAGAATTGAATTTGAAATTCAAACTTTATCTTTGGATCATTTATAAAACTCGGTATTTTCCCGTTTAGGTGATATGATTCTTTGGGGATTTTTTTTCAAAGAATTGCTTACAACACAGTGTTATTTCATGTGATAAAGTTTCAAAATAATCATTTGAAGATCAATATGACTGATCCCCAAAAACTAAACTAACATAAACGTACTCTTATATATCTAAAAAGTTCACTTTCCTATGAATTTACTGATACTTGGTCAGTTTGAATAAAAATACGGGAGATACCGTACCTTGAATAACCGGCGAACCATTCAATTGGTCATAGACCAATTTGAGATACCCTTTTCAGAGGAATCTAAAATGTTGTTTATATGGTTATTTATATATTATTTAATCATTTTCTTAAATAAAAATCATATGTTCTCAATTTTTCTTCATAACGATTCTTATAAATTTTAATGTTTTTACTATGAGTGCTAAATATTATTAATTACTAAATGATTTTAAAAAGAAAAAACATGTTTTTACTTTGTACGTTAACATACGTTAATATCACTTCGGCTATGGATAGAGGCCAACAGCGCCTTATTAATGAGAAAAACATTAGCCTCTTATCAATGAGATGGAAGTGTATTCGTGGATTACAATTGTGAATTCAGATACACTTCCATCTCAAAAAATGCAATCAAATTTGTATTGAATTGCATTTTTTGAATACATGCTATTGGCAGTTGGGTTTTTAGTGCATTTATATTATATTGGTACTAAGGCTTTTGGAAAATTTACAAAATAAATTTAATATTTTGTAATGTTATAGACCGAAAATATATTTTTTCGGTTTTCTCTTCAAATAATTGAAAGAATGATACTATTATAGGTTTATTATATTATATAGCATATAATCATGCTATAGCCGAAAATTATAAGTTTTGAGAAGATTGAATATAACACAATTAAATTTGAATGTAAGTTAAATTGCTTGTTGTTTTTAATATCTATTTAATGAGAAATCCAATATTGCAAAATTCAAATTGAATGATTGAAAGAACAGAAAAAGTCATTCTTTTCAATTTCGAATATGTTTCATTGTATTTATAATTATATGGCAAATAAGATATTTAAACTTGATTTTTGAAGGAAAATTCACAAAATTGAATAAATTCAAATAATTTTTATTCAAAAATAAACTAGTTATTTGAGTTTAATACTAATTATCTATTCAAACTACAAAGTTTGTAATTTAAAATATTTTGTGAGATCAGATTGAATTAATTCAATGTTCTTTTCAATTAATATTAATGACCATATTACGCATTTTCGAACATTCTAAACCAAATATATAAAAATGGGAGACGAATGTTAAATTTGCTAGACATAAAGAAGTTGTTTACCGAGTTTTAGCTCTTATCTCTAACAAAAAATTAATTTTTAAAAAAATGACCGAATACGTTTCACAGCGAGAAAAAAATAAAAGGCAAGATAGAATTTTCTAGACATAAAGAAGTTGTTTTACCGAGTTTTAGCTCTTATCTCTAACAAAAAATTAATTTTAAAAAATGACCGAATACGTTTCACAGCGAGAAAAAAATAAAACTGTACACTGATTTTCATTTTCATTTCCAGTCACTTTACTTATTATTTTTCTTTTTTTCATTTAATTATAAATATTTCATAATACGTTTATTTACGTTACCATTTTCTTTATTCTTTTGAATTCCATACTAGACACTTATAGAATATTTTGATTGTTAACGTACTTCATTAGAATGAATCCTTACAAAGGGTATGTCGATCGAATTTACCTAATTGGTATTTCCAATCAGATTGAAGAAGGTAAAATGACATGGGAAGAAGCTTGCACCCATGTTCCCATCGCCCAACCCTTCAATCAAATGATTTCAAATATTTAGATGTTTCAAAATCTTTTTTACAAAATCAATTTAGCTTACAGAATATCCCATTGCCTAAAGGCAAGAAAGGTCGTAGGGTCAATCCCTACGACCAAATCAAAGCTCTTGCTGTGATACATGACCACTGGGCCTTTCCCTGTGGTCAAACAAAACAATGGAAACGTTTGAAATTACAACAAATTGATGTATCTTATAGAGAAGTACGCAGATACTTCAAAGAAAATCATTTCACCAAGACGCGATTAGAGCATGCCGGGCCAGAAACAGCAGTAAGATATTGGGCGCTTTCACCCAATCTTATCTGGCACGCAGATGTTCATTATTTTAGGGGTGTTCGTGGCCAGTATATTTATGGCATAATCGACGATTTTAGCCGCAAAGTCCTAGCGTGTATACAAATACCAGATATGCTGGCAGCGACGACAGCGAACGTTGCGGCTTCCGCCTTCATTGAATTTGGCGCCCCTTATTGTTTCTGGACCGACAACGGTTCAGAAAATAGGGGCGCCTTTCAAGATCTACTTGATCTTTGGGGCGCCCAATGGCGGCATACAGACACTCATTCTCCCTACCAAAATGGGAAGATTGAGAGATTCTGGCCGACATTGGAGCGCTGCCAAAGCATTCAGGCTATTCCTGCCTTTATTTGGGAGTACAATAATAACACACCGCATGAAGATCTCCAATTAATCCATTAACTGGAACAAATTACACGCCAAATCAAATGTATCAGCTGAAACCGAAATATACAAATGCAGATACAGAAAGGTTGTGGCAAATATGGGATACAGATACAGGCATGACCGCTGTTGACACATTCACAGCGTAATAATAAACATAATTTTTTAATTTCATTTTTAACAAGTTTTTTTAAATGTATGTAATGAATAATTCATTAGAAAATGATAATGCACATTGTAACAGAATAGAACAATCACCAAATTTTTTTTGAAATTAAAAAATAAAAGTAAAAAGTATAAAGTAATCTAACCAAAAAGATATTTAAAAGAATTTTGGAAAAAACAGAATAAGGATAATGATATTATTTTAGATACACAATCGATGTACTGAAGAATAATCCGGTAAAATGATGATATAAAATTAGATTATTTTACAAGTAGCTAAAAGAATAAAACTATAATATAAAATAAATGAAGTTTAATGAAACAATAAAGGTTAAATAAATAATAAAGATGTTTATTTTATATCAGTATTGAGAAGAAGTAACAGCTGACACTTGGTAGATAACTTCTTTATGTCTAGAAAATTCTATCTTGCCTTTTATTTTTTTCTCGCTGTGAAACGTATTCGGTCATTTTTTTAAAAATTAATTTTTTGTTAGAGATAAGAGCTAAAACTCGGTAAACAACTTCTTTATGTCTAGAAAATTCTATCTTGCCTTTTATTTTTTTCTCGCTGTGAAACGTATTCGGTCATTTTTTTAAAAATTAATTTTTTGTTAGAGATAAGAGCTAAAACTCGGTAAACAACTTCTTTATGTCTAGCAAATTTAACATTCGTCTCCCATTTTTATATATTTGGTTTAGAATGTTCGAAAATGCGTAATATGGTCATTAATATTAATTGAAAAGAACATTGAATTAATTCAATCTGATCTCACAAAATATTTTAAATTACAAACTTTGTAGTTTGAATAGATAATTAGTATTAAACTCAAATAACTAGTTTATTTTTGAATAAAAATTATTTGAATTTATTCAATTTTGTGAATTTTCCTTCAAAAATCAAGTTTAAATATCTTATTTGCCATATAATTATAAATACAATGAAACATATTCGAAATTGAAAAGAATGACTTTTTCTGTTCTTTCAATCATTCAATTTGAATTTTGCAATATTGGATTTCTCATTAAATAGATATTAAAAACAACAAGCAATTTAACTTACATTCAAATTTAATTGTGTTATATTCAATCTTCTCAAAACTTATAATTTTCGGCTATAGCATGATTATATGCTATATAATATAATAAACCTATAATAGTATCATTCTTTCAATTATTTGAAGAGAAAACCGAAAAAATATATTTTCGGTCTATAACATTTAATATTTTGTAAATGTTATCGGTTCTTACGCTTTTGGAAGGAGGAATGGTATTTTTGGAGCATTTATATTACATTGGTACTAAGGCTTTTGGAAAATTTACAAAATAAATTTAATATTTTGTAAATGTTATCGGTTCTTAAGTTAGTATACATATCTTCAGTACGGTGGCACTGCGCGCCATCTTACCGAAGATATGTCAATCTGACACTTTACAAAACCACTAACGTATATTTTACATCGCATATGCAATATTTCTAATAACCTTAAACTATTTCTGCCACGTAAAGTATTTATCACATAAACCACCTCATCTCACCTCTCTGTACGTTATATATTGTGCGCAGGTCATTGCCCATGGCAACTCCCCGCGACACAATGCACGTGCATGAAAAAATAAACGTTCTCACTAACGTTCTCACTAACGTTCCCACTAATGTTCTCATTTACAAAAGTATTGCAACTCTTTCCATTGCTGTGCTTCGCATAATAGTTCATATTCTTCAGTATCACTACTGTCGCTCCAATCGTCTGAGTCAAAGTCGCTGTCATAATTAATGTTTATAAGTTTTGACAAATGTAATGAAACACGCTTACCGTTTGTATCTACTGCTTGTATATATCTTCCATTATGTTTGCTATCATAAATGCTTAAACTAACTTTACCCTTTCTCCCTCGTATCTGATAGAATGTATTCTCACGCGGAACGAAGAACAAATTCTTGAACTCATGACCGTTGTAGTTTGTTATCTCAATAGTTTTCGTCATTACATCCAAATAAAAATTTTCAGTAAAAATAAAACTAACGTTAAAAATTTCTCATAACATAAACGTTC